GTTGGGATACCTCAGGACTAGAGGTCTCAATCTACAGATTGCTTCACTTTTCTTTCCCATTAACTAAATGAGCTCTCCGACTGCTGTCTGTCTGTACCATTTATAACTTAGTGACTCCCCAGTTTATGCCTCCAATTGTCTTCTCCTATGAACTCCAGTTTTATATTTCCAACTGGTTACTCAGTAGCTCCATTTGGAAATCTACTAGGCATCTCCAGTTTAATGCCTAAAATAGAACTGGATGTTTGCCCCACAAAACCTGCTCCTGTCCCCACATGTGTTCTACCCTAATAAGTGACATTACTGTATATCTAGTTATTCAAATAAAAAAACCTGAGACATTCTTGACTATTTTCTATCTCACACCCCACATTCAGTCTATTAACAAGTTACTTCTACACCGTTTTCAAAGTACTTCCAGTCCAACCACTTCCTACACTTCCATTGTAACACTAGTCTTGCAACAGCTTCCTAACTGGTTTTTCAGCTTCTATTTTACCTCCCTGCAGGCAATTCTTAAAGAATCAACCAGAGTGAACCTCTTCAACTTTAAGTCAGACTATGTCACTTTCTTTTCTTAGAGAGAGTTTTGCTACAGGGCATGTGTGCTCACGAGAGCCAGAGAGACAATGAGAAATCACTCCCTGGGGAGATGGCCACACCACAATCCCTTCTCCATTCTCTTCTCAGGATTTTGGGCACATACACACGTTTCTGGCATGAATATCAAGTTGCCGGGTCCGGGACTCAAACCATGGTCGGCCATGTGGGAGTCCAACAACATAACCATTACACCATCTGCTGGTTCCTAGACTATGTCACTCTTTTTACTCAAAACTCCGTGTGGCTTTGTAGCACTCAGGATGAAATCCAAAGTCCTCTCCTTGGTCCATAAGTCTGGAAATGATCTGGCTTCCACGTTTCTTAACTACTCCTTTGACACACTGGCTTCTTTGCCAAGCACACTTAAGCTTCAGGGTCTCCACCTTGCCTTTCCCTCTGCCTGCTGTATTCTTTCCCAAGCTTGTATGGTTTATTCTCACTTCAGATCTTTGTTCAGTTATCACCTCAGCAGAGAGGCCTTCCCTGAACTCTTCGTATAAAAGAGCATACCCTGCTTGGCAACGCATTTCACTCTATTTCCCTTTATAGCACTTTAATAACTTTCTATTATTGTTTGTGTTTCTCTTCTTTCCTTACACTCCCAACCCCTGCACTACTAAGATTTTATTCACTGCCTTCTGCTTTGTTTTTCTTTGCAGTACCCTTCATGACTTAATATTGTCTATATGTCTCCCTCCTCCATATTCCCAGTCCCTACACTAATAAACATGTTCCATTAATTCCGGAATCTCGGTTTGGTTTTTTCAGTTCACTGCTCTGCAACCCCAGCACCTAGTACAGGGCCTTCCCTGTGGTAGGAATTCAGTAAGTTGAAAGAGTGAAGAAAAAATGAATACGATGATAGAGCATCAAGTAGCTACTTTGCGCACTAGCCCTCTTCTGGCTCTCAAGGTTACAACATTGAGAAAGACTCTTCTAGTAGTATAGCTGGGAGTCCAAATATCTAATCATCGGCTAGAAGTTACATGTCAAAATGGTATGTAAAGAACAGTTCATAGTAAAAGGATAGACGAAGATGATGGCATGGGTTCCATCTTCTTTGGGATGACAAAGAGCTGCCTTTTTTGGGAAGCAGCATTTGAACAGAGACCTGATTAAGCGGCCAGATCAAGTCTAGTAAAGATCTAGTAGACTGACATTCCAAGAAAAGGGAGCAAGTCCTGGGGCTGACACCTGCTTTGGTTGGAGTGGCACCAAGAAGGCTCCTGAGGATAGAGCAGAGCTAGCCCTGTGGGAAAGGAGAGCTCTTTACCCTCCAAGGGCCTTCCTTGGAGGCCACTACCATCATTTCTATTTTTATTATGTGATTGGAGGTTTTGAATGAGGGAATAATATGACCTGAGGGAACTCCCTCCACCCCCAAGATTTTCTGCTATAGGGTGGGAGCATTCTCTGGAGAGAGAGCCAGAGAGAAAGCCCCAGGGTGACCATGCCATGATCCTTTCTCTGCCATTCTCCTCTCAGAATTTTGGGCACGCATGCGCACACGCACACACAATTCAAGCTGCCGAGTACGGGACTCAAACAGCAGTTGGCCACGTGGGAGTCCAGCCCCTTAAGCACTGCACCACTTGTTGGTCCTCCCTGACTTAACATTTTAAAAACTCCATACCCTGTTATTTAACTGTAACAGGACAACAATGGAAGTAGCCAAGCCAGCTAAGTGTCAACTGCCGCTAAGTTCTGTCACATGAATCGGGTCCTAGCACCCTGGCCTCCGGGTTTAAATCCCCCTGCCTGGCAGCTGGGAGTCAGCATCCGCACGCTTCCTTAGCTATCAGAACGAAGCAGGCAGGGCGTACAAACGGCACCCTACACCGCTGCCCTCTTCTTGGGGACCTTCACTAATCTACCTCTTACTAGTTTAGCAGCGCCTCAAGCTTTTGAATCCCTTCTTTAAAAATGGGCCAGCGGAGACTCGCCGGGGAAGCGGGCTTGGACAACCCTGGAACCACTTATGGAAACAAAGTCCTCAAAAGGACATAAGGATTTTACTAAGAAATCTGGCGCGATCTCTTTCCCAGTGGTCAACAAGGCAGAACTGGAGGTCGCCCAACAATCTCCCCCAGTCCCTTGGAAAGGAACTTGACTTCCACGACCGTGGGAAGCCCCTCGCCCCGCGTGTTTCGCGTGTCAGGAGGGAGGGCAGCCCTCGGACAGGCCACGGCCGCGCGTCCCCGGCAGTGCGCACGCGCCCCTCGCTCTGTTTTCCGTTGGCCGAGGCCCCGCCCCCCGTGCGTCCTCCGTGGAGGTTGGGAGCCGTGAGCTCGCGCGACCACTCCGCTCGCGGTCGGCCTCAGCACATCGTCGCAAACCGGGCCGGAAAGTGTGGCAGCGCAGGCGCAAGCGCAGAGCGCGGAGGCGGCGGTGGTGGC